CCTGTCCCTCTGGGAGGAGACCTAAAGACCTAGGAAGACCTAGGACACGCTGGAGCGACTACGTCGCTCGGCTGGGCTGGGAGTGCCTTGGGGTCCCCCCAGAAGAGCTGGAGGAAGTGTCAGGGGAGAGGGAAGTCTGGGTGTCCCTGCTCAGACTGTTGCCCCCGCGACCCGGCCCCGGATAAGCGGTTGATGATGGATGGATGGATGGAAAAGCGTAAATTGAAATAAATTCAAATTAGTGTATTGTGCATATTTATTTCAGAAAACTTTTAAACTTTTATCTGTACTTTGTGTTACATTTATGTATGAAAGGTGCTATATAATACAGTTTAAAGTTTAAATTATGAAACTAAAGCTATTTGGTCATCTGTCAGCACATTAATACATTTTGAAAATGTATAGTTGTGAAACAAAATTGTTTAAACGGGCGATTAGATAATTAAATGATTAATTAATGCAATAGTGTGTGAATGTGTCTATTTGAAGGGACTCCATGCCAGTGACCTATAGTGTGGGTGTGAGCATTTAACCGTTCAGTTATCATAACTGAACGGTCTACTTCCCTCAAACCTCAAAACTGCTGACATTGTTGAGACACTTAAACTACTTATAATGATGACGAGACAGTGAACTGAAGGAGAAAAGTATTTGAATGACATATCAGTCTTGACATCAGTGTTGATATATCGGTGCACCATAATGTAAACCATGATAGAAATAAAACTAATGTTATATAAAATTCATATTATGTAAATACACTTAATGTACAGTAAGTGATAAACCAGAGGTTTAGGTAGATTTAAAGTGTTGAACTTTGACCCCACCTGTTTCCAGGTGACGCTGATGCTGCTGGACCAGAACAACAGAGAACACATCATTGACGCCTTTAGACCTGACATCCCCTCCTCATCCTTCCAGAGACCCGTTAGTGACATGAACATTGCCAGCGGCTGCCCACTCTTCTGTCCACTCTCAAAACTGGACTCTAAAAACTCCTACATCTGAGATGATACCATCTTCATCAAGGCCACTGTGGACCTCACAGGACTATAGATGAAAGGAAAAAAAAAGAAAAGTCCAAACCTGCCTTTTGTTGCTTCTCGCCAGACTTTTGTAGAAACAGAAACTGGACGAGGTTCTTCAAGGTCATTTGGGTTTTTTTTTTATTGTTGGAAGTTCATCCTTAAAAAACAAAACTACCTTAAAAGCTACCTATTTCCGTCTGCTAACTCTAGTGTCTGTTTTTAAACCTGTTAAGTGTTCTAGATAGACTCTACATCAGGGGTGTCAAACTCATTTCACATCGCGGGCCACATACGATCCCTAGGAAGACGTCGCGGGCTGGACCATTAAAATTATAGCATACTTAGCTAGAAATAACCAAAATATCATGTATTTCCTTTGTTTTGGTGTAAAGAAGCACAAGAACATTATGAAATTTGAAATTTAACTTAAAATTTATTGAATAACACTTTTACAAAACATTTCACAAAATTGCACAAACTTTAACAAGTAACTGGTGTTGAATATTATAGTAATGAACTTTATGATTAATTAGACTTATAAAGAAAGACCAACATTAAACTGCACATTTTTTAAAATCACCACAGTAAGTATTAATTTTCACAGAGCTGTATTCTTTTAATGCAAACAGTATCTGCAAAAAAAATGCAAGGCAGCATTTTAAAGACGTTAGTCTACTCTGGACTTGTTTTTGTTCCTGAAATTTGGCATCTTTTGGCCTGTACAAGTGCATCAACATCAGGTGTCATGTCCTGAGTAGCTGTCACTTTCAGAATGTCATTTAAGTGCTTGTGTGTGAGCCTTGAACGCATTTTTGTTTTATTGATATTCATTACTGAGAAAATTTGTTCACAAAGGTAGGTTGTCCCAAACATGCACAAAATTTTAGCAGCCATGGCTGTTAATTTGGGGTACCCTGGTAATAGATACTGATAAAATGTGTCCAGACCTACGGAGGCAAATTTGCCCTTCAAATCTGCGTCACATTGCAAATCAATTATTTCTAGCTGGATGTCGACCGGCAGATCAGAAGCTTTAACTGTGAACGGTGAGCGAAAAACTGAAAATTCTGTCTCAAGTTCACCAAATACCTGAAATCGTTTCTCAAACTCCCACAGTAATCCTGCAATCTTGTCTTTGTACCGTTTCACGTCCGCAACAGGTCTGGTCACACGCACATCTCTCAGACAGGGGAAATGAGCAGGGTCTCCACTTGCCAGTTGCGTCTCCCACAAAGTCAGCTTCAACTTAAATGCCTGTATTTTGTCAAAAAACTGTGTGACAACTTTTTTGCGCCCTTGCAACATTTTGTTCAGACTGTTCAAGTGTTCAGTAATATCAACCAAAAATGCGAGGTCCTGTAGCCATTCCTGGGATTGTAATTCCGACAACGGTTTTCCTTTTTTCTCCGTGAACTGTCTGATTTCCTCTCGTAGATCAAAGAAATACCTCAGCACAGCGCCTCGGCTTAACCATCTCACTTCAGTGTGGTATGGCAGGCTGTGTGTAATGTTGCTGTCGCTGAGAAGGGTGTCAAACTGACGATGGTTAAGACCTCTGGCTCGGATGAAATTTACAGTGCGAACAACCACCTCCATGACGTGGTCCATTTTCAAGGACTTACAACACAATGCCTCCTGGTGCAAAATACAGTGAAATGTCAAGAAACGATCTCCTCCATTAAGGGCTTGTACTTTCTCTCTGAACTTTGTCACGACACCTGCTTTCTTTCCGATCATGGATGGTGCGCCGTCTGTAGCCATGCTGACAGCACGGGACCAGTCCACTCCAACTCTGTCCAGTGCAGCAACGACAGACCCGAAAATGTCCTCGGCTGTTGTGGTGTCCATCATAGGCACCAACTCAACAAACTCTTCGGTAACAGTCAATGTCTCATCAACTCCACGAATAAATATGGCCAGTTGAGCCACGTCCGTGATGTCGGTGCTCTCATCAATTGCAACGGAAAGTGCAATAAATGACATGACTCTCTGTTTCAATTGGGTGTCTAAATCTG